CAGATTTTCATCGGGTCGCATCGAGTACAGTCGAAGACAAAATAACCAGACACTCATATTTTTATTCAAACTACATGTATTATTGTCGTAATATTAATTACAACATACTTATTTTCATATAAACCAAATTAACATCACACCAGACTGCATCTCACGATTTCTAAATAAATATCGATTAAAGGTCACTAATCACCACACTTATTTCATAGTTTTGCTCGTAAAATTACACCATTTTCTAATGACGGGTAGCATCAGAACAGGAGTCTCATATTTTTTGTAGTTTATTTCAAATTAAGTACATGTTATTTTGTCGTTATATTAATTACAACATGTTGTTTAGTTAATGTAAACCAAATTAAACGAGATCAAAAATGCATAAGTTTTTATAAACATTGTTTAATTATGATGGTTACGAGAAACTTTATTTAAAACAATTAAGTTTAACAAACAATTTATTAAATGGTTGTGCTCATAAAATTTAACTAACAATTTATTACAAGGTTTTGCTCAAAATAGTGCATTAAGAACAAAAGATGCGTTGCGATTGTGATAGTGATTATTGTGATAAACGCTGTGGACTGTACGCGACGTGTGCTTGCGTCGGATAGATGTGCACACCCCACCAAAACGTGGCAAGGCGTCGGGTAGCATCGGGTAGCGTCGCATGGCGTAGCATCGGTAAGTGAGTTTCTGGCTTTAGATGTACATGTTTAGTCTCTTTCTTTTTTTTTCTAAATTAGGCTGTTCCTCTCTTTTTGCCTGGCATTCCAGTATTTGCTATGTTATTTAGTAACCAACGAATCCAGTTTTTTTTTTAACGTGGGTATTATTTATGCACAAAAGTTATTTGGGTCATGTGTCGCCTTTAATTCCCACATGACTTGGAACACATCTTAGTTTCAGGCTAAGTTGGTAGGCACTTAAGCAGTTCCAGACTAGTTAAGAGGTTATGTCGTAGGAACCTTTAGATCTGTCTGGCTATTTGTTAGTATTATTATGGTTGTTTCATTGACATGTTTGTTATGTCACATGTTTCTAAGGTTAGGTTTGAAAGATGGCTGTGGTGGGGCCGAATACAGACCTCTTATACTCATACCAATACTATGTACCGTCCATCTGTGTACTATAAATGAACCCCAGGTTTATGATTTTATGCTTTATTTTACCATTTAGGTACTTTTTGCAATCATTATGTTGAATGTTTCTTTTAACTTTAGTATTTTCCGATAGTTGGGAGATGGTGTTAGCCATGGCGGTTTTTTTGTTTGTCGAAAATTATATGGCCTGCATTTGTTTGATGCTATTGTTGCACTTTTGACGTATTAGTTATTTATTTCATCCGCAGTGTTTCAGTGGCCAAGATTCGGGTTAATAGAAGGTTGCAACGGAGCTTAGGTTCATGTCATGTGTCACAGTATGAAACCAAAGAGTCATGACATCCTAGGTCATCAATGTCAAATATTACATCTTTCACCTAATTTTAAGTTCTACGCGGCTACTTACGTGTGCTTCTGCGTGCAGGTCCTAAATAAAGACGTGTAAGAGGTTGAAGGTTTAGTACCTTCTCCAGGGTCGGCATAGTTTTCATGGATCCGGCGATTCAAGTATTTCTTCCTTGGTATATCATTTGCCTTTTACATTTTACCTAACTGCAGTATTTTACTATTTTAATTTTATAATCCACCCTATTGACCTGAAGTTTGGACCTTTGACCAAAAAAAGCGCGATGAATGAAAACAGGTCATCAACCACCATGCAGAACTCAAGACCTGTTTTAAAATTAACTAAATATAAACAGAAATACTTTATTTCCTGAAAATTTTGGCTTCCATGTTATTTTTAAGGGGTTTTAAGGAAAATTGATTATAGTCCTGCTTTTTTTTAAATAAACAACCAATTCAGCTCTTCCCCTGGTTGAAATTTATTTAATAATATTCGGCACACTGTAAGGTAATTTGTCGTGGATTTGAACCCGATAGAATTTCTAATTTTTTTTTTCTTTTTTAAACATCGGAACTTCTTCCACTTTTGCTCCTTTCAACAATGTCCGTAAATGCTCCTACAGTGTATTAACCTCTTCAGTCAATATAAAATTTTACCAAAAAAAAGTCAGGGTCTTAGGATGTAAATGAAACCTAATTATTTAATAAGCTGTTGACCAAACTCGATTAAAAGTTATAAAACATCGATAGAATTATTTAAAACAAGTGACCAGTAAAGTAATTTTTTCAGATTTTCAGATAATACTACATAGATTTTTTTTTAATTAAACCACTCAAAACTACCTTAAAAAAAGTAATTTTTAGAGCTGAATTTTAAAATAGAATTCAATTCATAAACTGTATCAACTGATAAAACACATTTACATACAAATAAATATTCAAACAATTTTGTCACCTGTAATTAGTGAAAAAAAATAATAGGTCCCACCGAGATTTGAACTCGGATCGCTGGATTCAAAGTCCAGAGTGCTAACCATTACACCATGGGACCTTGGTAGGGATCGCCTTAAACGTGACAGTTGAACCGGCCCAACCGGCCTCACCGTTCCATTTTCATCTTCTAAACACATTTTCCGTTAATTAATAATATATAATTAAATTAAATACTAATAATTATTGTATGGAACGTTAAAATTTTTTGACTGTTCAATTTGGCTGATGTAATTATTTATTTAATTGACAACACTGTGACTGTTTACGCCGAAAGTATTAAGCCTCCCGCGAAAAACCCGCTCGTTCCTGAGTTCGCCATTTTTTCGTAGTTAGTCGTCGGTTGTAATTGATAATGAACACGTCTCTTGTATTTCAATTGTAGTTCAAATTGAATTTTTTATCTATTTAAGTCGTGTGTGGTTCGAGCAAAGGATCCGTTGGATGGACTTCCCAGGAGTTGAAGAACGGATGACCGCTAGGCCGAAGATAAAAGGTAATGGCTATCATCCATCCTTGAACCCCTGTCCTGCTATTTCCTTCACTTTTATTTATTTTGGGCCTTCAAATTCCTTTGGAATCTTTAAATTTTATACAGTCCACTGCGTTAACAGTGACGTAAAGCCAGTTTGTAAACTATATGACGAAACATTTACATTCGTCGTTTCCGAACATCCTAGTCCGCCTGCCCTCGCTAGTTTTTCCTTCGTTTGGCTATAAGATGTAATGAAAAAGTTGTAAGATGAAGGTCGAGCCTTCTCAGATGAAACAACAATTTAAAAATTAAACTTGTTTAAAAAGATAATGTTCGAATTTGAAGACTGTATTTTATCTGGTTTTAATGGAAAAGTTCGGGTTTTTGAGGACAGTTGAACAGGTTAGGACAAGTCTTGGATTGGATCAAGCCTTACACAGATGAAACATCGCCATGTTTCATTTGGTACATTAGTTAAAGACAATTTAAAATTTACTTTTTAAAAAGAATTTGAAGACTGTTTTCTGTTTTAATGAAAAAGTTCAGGATTTTGAGGTAAGAACAGTTTAACAGGTTAGGACTAGAAGTGGGCCGGATCAAGTCTTCAAACAGATGAAACATCGCCATGTTTGAGTCGTGGTACAACAGTGAAAGACAATTTAAAAATTAAACGATTAAAAAGTGAATATTATATATTTTTTACTTTTCTTTGCCGGTTGTTGACTTTTTATATTTCTTGGGTTTCTTTTCGGGAACTAGACAACCATCAAATTCAAAAGAAAATGAGATTGATGGTTGTCTACATGCTGAAAAGAACCCAATAAATCAAAAAGCCAACAACCGAAAAAGAAAAGTAAAAAATATATAATATTAACTTTTTAATCAAGTTTAATTTTTAAATTGTCTCTAACTGATGTACCACGAATCAAATGGCGATGTTTCATCGGTGTGAAGATTGATTAAAAATATAATATTCCAAATTGAAGACTGTGTTTTATATGTTTTTAACGAACCAGTTTTGGTTTTTGAGAACAGTTTAACAGGCTAGGACAAGTCGTGGGTCGGATCAAGTCTTCACACAGATCAAACATCGCCATGTTTGGTTCGTGGTATACCAGTTAAAGGCAATTTAAAAATTGAACTTCTTTAAGAAGATATTTCAATTTTAAAACTGTATTTTATCAGTTTTTACCGAATTTTTTAAATTCAAAGTCGGAAGTAAGGAAGGAGGGGTGGGGGACTTTGCCCATGGGACACTCTGTATTTAGAAACTGAACTGAATACAATTTATATAATTATGTTTTTATTTTTACCTGAGTGTACGTTTCCAAATATTATTGCCAATGAAATAGTAAAAAAAAGTTCATGGTTTTGGTTGATCAACTTTTGCTAAACAGTTCAATGCAGATATTTTGGTTATACAAAGTTTTTTTTTGTCATTTCAACATTATGTCTTTCATTACTAAACTAGGCAGACAATATTTCATGGGTTGATATTTATTTTTAGTTTTATTGTAATATATAAATAAGCTCATTAATTATCTTATTGGGAAGAGTTTCAATCTTTTTAAAAAGATAGTTCCTACTCACAGCATTATACTGTGAGAGTATACTCACAGTAGAAATCATTCATCATTTCTACGAGTTTCAATCTTAACCAGTAATGTGTTTATACATGTAGGAAGTATTTTATTCAGAATACTGATCTATCTATCAGTATCATTTTATTCCACTAATAATAAAATAATATAATATTTTATGGAAAAAACTTTTTTAAATAAAAATTTGCTCTTGTGTGCCATAAAAACCGAAACACTTAGAAGGAAACGATCCTTCTTTTCACTTACGCAATATTTAGGATTTATAGATTTTTTAACAATAATATCTACATATATATAAATTATTAATAATTTAGGACTAATTTTATAATTATGTAGGACTTTAAAAAATTATGGATTTGTGGAGTGACGATATAGAATTTTTTATGTACAAATTTTTTAAAACTTTCCCCATTATTATGTAATTAGTATTTAACGATTTTTGTATAATTTGAATACAGAAATATAGTAAGTAAAATAGTATATTTTAACGGTTTTCCTTTTTGTTTCAGGTAAGTGCACCAACGGGCATCTGGTGGCGGTCTTGAGTAGCAGTTCAGTTTCACTCCAGAGGCGTGAGATCGCGGTTGGTCATATTTTATCGCGCTTAAAGCAGACTTTATTAATTACAAATAATCATTATTCTGTATAAGTATGAAAAATCGATTAAAGCAAGTTGGCTCTCAAAAATATCTGATTTTTGGATGAGGTCGTTGGATGATTCTCCTAATATTTTACATGTTTATTTTGTTTATATTTTCTTCTGAAAATATTGAAAATTAAATCAATGGATTTGTCATTTTAAAGAAGCTGTTTTTAATAATTTACGGATATTTCAAAGAATAGTCGACTGGGTCACTTGTCTTGCTGTTGGACTGTATATTAGTCTAGAGCAAAAATACTGCACTTTTTATTTTTAACCATCTTCTATTAAATAGAAATGATTCGTTTCATAAAATGACATAGGACACATGCTTTTGAGCCAAAACCCGCGGTCCGGCATGTGGAGAAAGGTTGCTCGACGCGTCCCACCTAACTGAAGGGTGCAACTCCTTTGCTCTATATAGAAAGCGTATAGGATTGCCACAAGTTATGAGGATCGTGCTTGAGCAGGGCAGCAAATTTCTGGGTCCCCTGTTCCAATTTTCGAAGGATACAGGGTAGTCTTATTGTATATAGCAATGATAGTCTTGCGTCCCTGTCTGTTGAGAGTGAATGTGTTTATTAGTGTGAATGCGTAGGGTGAGAGAAGCGGAATATTGACCCATCGACCCTCAGTTAGGTTAGTTACATAATGTGTAAGGGGTGATGGAAAATTATCGCGTACTCCACCACCTTAGATGAGTACAGGGCATAGAAAGGATGTATTTAAGAGTGATTCAGCTTTCGAAGTACCCAGCTGTGTAAGTACCCAGAGCCTTACAGAAGGTATGATGTTTGTTGATCGACCTGCAGATAATGTATGTAGAGTTTCAATCTTCGTAGAGGTCATTAGACAGGTGAAGAAAGAAGAAGACTAAATGTTGAGTTCACCAAGCGTTCGGCAACTTATAGTGCCGTCATCAGAGCTCTCCTAAGATTGCAGAAAACGATTAACATGGAAAACTATTGTAAAAGCGTTTTGGGTTTAATGTTATGAAGCTCATAGGCAGCATACTACATTTTACATGGTGAAAATAGACATCTCGCTAATAAAAAGTCTATATGAGTAAAGGTTCAACAATTTTGTTCTGACTAGCAATTTCTTACAGGTAACATTTATGATCACAGAGATGTCTATTTTCACCATGTAAAATGTAGTGTGCTGGCCATGTGTTTCATAGCCTTAAACCCAAAACGCTTTTGCAATAGTTTTCCATGTTAATCGTTTTCTGCACTCTTTGGAAAGCCCTGATGATGGCACTATAAGTTGCCGAAAGCTTGGTGAACCCAACAATTAACCTTCTTCTTTCTTCACCTGTCTAATAACCTGTACGAAGATAGAACCCTTACGGAAGGGTTAAGACTGAGGTACTGTACTGCCAACATCCAAAGTGGGTGGTTCTCGAGGCCTGCCGGTATTATAAATTGCAAAAGCTAGCATTGCCGGTGGACTGTGAGAAGAGATAAGCTCAACTCCGCACACGTGTGTATACATTTAGATAAATATGCAGATTTAAGCTTAATAAAGCCACCCAAAATGTTTACAAAAATGTAAATAAATAAGAGAATAATACAGATACATAGATTTAAAAGAGAAAATCTTAGAAATGTCGTGGTGGTTTTTGAAAAAGCTGCTGCAATATGGAAATTTTATAAGGTGACAACAGTGAAAATGGGTTAATGGTTGTATATAAATCCGTGATATTTAACCTACTTTTCAATAAGGCTGATTTGTTTTTGTTCTTTCTACTTGGAATCGTAGGCGGACGGACATATCAGCGTTCTTCTCAGTTTTCAATTGTTCTTGCAGAATTTCTTCCTCTGAAGAAGAGGAGCGTAGGACAATTCCAAAGTCACAGATCCCAAATGGCTGACACTGCAAAGTCAAAATAGTAGTAGTCAGTTTTCAGAGGAACTTATGGAATTCCATGAGACATGGACACCTTTAAAACAGTTACTTAGTTAACTTAGTTAAACAGTTAGTTATTATTTTACAACAAAAAAAGTTTGATTTATTTAAGTAATTGAAGAAAATATTAATTAGTCGAAAGCCATAAAATTAGCAATAATAGTAAGAAAATATAAAAACCATATTTCCAATTTATTTTGAAGTTCTCTTATACTAAATTATTGTCAACAAATTTTACGAAACGTAACATAAAAATGTACTAGTAGAAAAAGGTCAATAGTGGAAAATGCTTCATTATTTTGTGACTTGAACGTGACTCTGCAAGTGGTTTTATATAATAAAATTGCTATTTTTTTCCCATGTTGTCGTAACCTTAGGAATAATAATAACAACGATAATCCATTCCAATGAGTCAATGTCGAAATAACGAGCTATCCACAGGTTCTAAGAGATGGAATGGCAATAGCGCAGACCCCGTTGGTATGGATAACGGCTATTTCATTTTGACCGGGTCTTAAAGATAATTAAAGATAATGAAAACTCCTAGGTGGTCGAATTGCCATTCTCGACTCTGCCTTGGGTCAATTTTCCGCGATGCCGTTTCCACGGGATCGTTAGCATTCTGGACGCGCTTGGGACGCGCTCCTTTTACCCCAGAAGGAGATTATAATTGACCCAGTCGCTTTTACGGTCAGAAAGCAGATCTCTGAGTCTTTTATGATATAAAACTAAAACGGACTTTTACAATACGAAATATAAAGAAAACTTAAATTTTACGTCCCACGTAGGGCATTTGATACTCTCATGACCACCTCCATGGAGGCTTTACATGCGAAATGTTCATCTCTGTTTGTATTTCCAAACTAGGTTTTTATTGTCCGTTCGATGACCATTAGGTACAAAATAAAATGTATGGAAAACTCTCTGACCACCAGCAGGTCATCTCATCATCCAAGGTTTTATAAGCAAAAATTACGAAAATTGGCTTGTGTTGTCTCTTCGATGATCATTAAATAAACAAAAAGTTAAAGAAACCTCGACCTTAAATTTTATAATCCATGTACAACAATCATCACCCTTTCCATACTCATGGCCATCGCCAGTGCAAGTTGCAGGCGGTTATAGTTCTACAAATCTGAGACGTTTATATTATACAATAAAAACAGGTATTTCTTGTCTGATGTCTCTTAAGTTAAAAAAAGTCTAAATAAAAGTAAGGCGACAGTATCCGTAAAACCATCTTCTATAACCTCATGACCTTTACGGTCAGACTTATAAATTCTCTAGGATATAAAATTATAGAGACTTTTACTTATTTGAAAGATATTTGAAATAAATATCCAGTCTTGTTTGGTGGCTGCTATCATCCTATTCTTCCTACATTCCCTGTTCAATACATTTTGCAGTACTTCAGTTAGTTGGTCTGTTCTATACTCGATGTACATTTAAACGTTTTTTTAATTTCTACGTAGATCTGATGATACGACGAGATGCTTTTTAAAAGGCCTGTTCCCGACTTCTGATGAGTTTAAGAGAAATAAATTTTTGCTTCTAGAAGGTCAAGTCACAAGAAAATATGTCATATGTAATCGTTGTACGTTCGGTAAATGGCTAATTTGAAATTAATATTTTATAGAAGTTTTACATTCCATTCAGATGATTGTATTTTATATATATTTGTAGCGAGTAAGTTCGAGATTTCAGATTAGAACAGATGACTCATGCCTTCTCGTCGGAAAATACATAACTTCAATAATCTTAGTAGTCTATCCATAAAGAAATAACTTTTTTTGCTGAAAACATAGATAAAATTGATTAGGTTTCGTGGTTCGATTGACCAAATAAATTCTTTTCAATTATTTAATCTGTAAGCACGGTACTTTCTAGTCGAGATAAAAAGTCGGTGTGGCGAGCGGGATTCGAACCCACGACCTCCGGCTAAATATGTCACCGCTCTACCACTTTAGCTATCGTGACTTCGATCCACTCGGACACCAACGTCCCATCTCAACCCCACATTTTGAATTTCCCCTCCTTTTTGCCATTTTTCAAATGTCGTGTAATCTATAATTTGGTTCTCGGCGACAAATGAAATGGCCATGAAAAATGGCAAAAAGAACGGAAACTTCAAAAGGCGGGGTTGAGATGGGAAGTTGGTGTGGACGTTCGTGGTGGTGGCAAGCGAAGGTCGTGGGTTCGAATCTCGCTCGCGTCACTGACTTTTTTATCTCGACAAATACTTTACTTAAAGATTAATTAATTGAATAGACAAAATTATTTAAAATCGATATAATCATGAAGAAATTAATAAATCATAAAATACCGGACTAATCCCTGTAAAAATTGAAGACTAAGAATACGCCGCTGCTCTACCACTTGAGCTTCGAATCCCGCTCGTGCCATTGACTTTTTTATCTCAACTAAAAACCTTAATTAATAGGTAAGTACGTTTTTCGTCCATTCTCTCGTTCAAATTTTGTAATTTACGTCAGATTTTGTGTTTTCTTAATAATTAGGATTATAGTCAAAGATGGTCAGGGATGAGGGTGGACATAGATTTGTCTCAGTTGAGTTATTTTGGGAGGTTTTAATAGTAGGTGATGCTTAGAGAAAAAAAATAACATAACCAGAGAGGTAGACAAGCATCGGAAACTGTCCCAACTGAAGAAAAGTGTTTTTCCGATTCATTGGTCCGTGCGCTACTCCGTGGTTTAAGTCCATTTAGCCTGTGAAATGCCAAAATGTGTCTGCGAACATGGGTGCATCACCTCAGAAATCAGGCTAGGCAAGGACTGAGAAACCCAGACCCATCAGAAGAACCTGTAGTTGGTCTGTTTACTGCCATCCGGGTTGACAGACATGTTTCTGCAGTTTGCTAACGATAAAATGGACTTGACGTACCCAGAAACGCACAGACCAACCACCGAAGATGAGGAATACTACTAAATAACTCCATTCCATTATCCTGATCTCATATCCTAACTGTTTCAAAATTTCGCCTTATATAAAAATAGACTTTACTGATGGGGAAAACCAATCATTGGAAACGAATAGAACTATGTAAATTACGTCATTTTGGTCGTTTACGATCATCGTGGTTCGCTTAGATTGGCTATTTTGGCCTGTCAGACATGTTTCCAAGTCTCGCCATCTTCTTGTTCATTTTCCTTCTGGTCACTAGTCTGGTCTGTCAGCCACGCTTAACCATTTCTACATCTATATTATTGACTTAACCCGCGTAAAAATACTGTCCAACCATGGAATATTACGGAAAAAACAAATTGTCCCAAGTTCGGTGATTTTGGTCATCCTGGTCCACGTAGTTACGCTAGTCTGCAAGATGAGTTTTGTCCTTTGTAGGCCGTTTGCTAAATTTAAAAAGGACATATAGACCGAGAAAAACACAGACACAGTAAACGGCAGAACGAAAAAAATAGATCAAAAATAGTAACCCAGCCCCAGCCAGTTGAATCTAGCAGTAAGCCATTTTTGTATTGTTGCTCGTAAAAAGTACATGGTTAAACACACAGATCCATCACTGAGGAGTGCTGCGGGAAGCAGAAACGCATCTGACAGAATTATTCAGAAATCATGCGGTCTGGTGTGATTATCGATTAGCGGTCACTAATCACCACACATCTGACAGAATGTTGGTTCATCCCGCGGCAGACCTCAAGTCCTCTTTTTTAACAACATTTAACAACATTATCAAGTTAAATCTCCTTTACAATTGTTTCTCCATCAATTTAATCAGGTATATCACAAACCGTACAGAAATTCCTGAAATAACTTGTACTTTGATGTTTTCGGTGGCAAAGCATTAGTATTGTTGTTATGATCCTAGTCTTCCGGTTGTGCAACGTGGAACAAAAGGGTCCTAATCTCGAAACCGGGCGGACCATCTGTCACCCTTACCCGTGCCGCATTAATTAATTCCTGGCAGGAGGCAGATCAGAATCCTCGACGTAGCTCATCAAAAATTATAATTCCGATAAACGCGAGAGTGGCCGGGCCGCACCCCGCTTTGTACGACAACGTCTGTTTACCACCCAACGGGCTCAGGAAGTCGTAATAGTTTTAATTGGCCCTAAAAAGGAAGGCATAAATGACCGGTTTCTATATTTGTTACTTAAAAAATTTAGTGGCTATAGATCTCTTTAAAAGGATAAATACTTGCGAACAAAACTCAACTTTTTGTAGTTCATTTTATTTATAATTGTCTACAGGCTGTACGAACCATAAAAAAAATATATGAAAATAATAACATAAAAGCACATTATGCTATTTTATCGAGGAAAATATGAAATTTCATAACCCATTAATTTATTAATTTCGTAAAATATTTCATAACTTTATCAACTAAAATTAAGTGCCTCAATAAATGTGAATACAAATATAAATTAATTTTCTGTTTTATGACTATTTAAATACACAAAATTTTACTATAAAATAAGTTGTTAAACCAATAAAAAGACAACGGCTGAAGTGTCGAATGTTTTCTTTCGTCCATGATTTTTTTTTTAAATTTTATTTTTCTTATTATAAATTTTTATAATATTTTTATTTTTTTGTTAATAAATTAATGTTGTATTGAAAAACATAATAAAAGCTATTTTCACTGACAAAATAGTTATTTATAAGCAGCTTTCTAGCGAAAAAAGTCTTTATGTTCAACAAATTAAAGCGTAAAAGATAAATAAAGTTTGTGCTTTTCTTTACTTCAGAAATATTTTTTACAAAAGGCATAATTAGTTTGTTAATCTTTAACATTTTAAGGAAGTTGTTTATTTTGGTGCAATCGAATTCATGAGATTTCTATTTTGGGATTATGAAATGATAAACGTGTAGATTGGCTTCCGATCGTAGTGTTTCGGCTTCCCGTCAGCTTCAGGTGTACATTCTTCCGTGTGTACATTTTTTTTTAAAGAAAAGATCTGTCAACAGCACCAAATTGCTGGAGGCCTCGCTACTGATTTTGATTTCTTCTTGAGGTATGCAAAATGAAGTGCCTGTAGTTTCGTCTTTTTCAGAACTGATTCGAAGACACTTTCGGCATTTTGGCACGAATAAAATGGACTTAACTCACGTAGAAACGCACAGACGAGCCGTTGAACCTGGCGAATACTAATAAATTATTTCAGGTCGTTTTACGATCGGCCTGGTCTTCCTATCGTCTCTGTTTTGGTCCGTCAGGGGTGATTTTTTCATTCTTGTGTTTTCTTGGGTGTTGTCCCGGAGCAAGTACCGTTCATCCTTCCCACTATAAGTCTGATATGACATGGAAACAAAAAATTCCCCCTTGCCCTTAAACGGTCCGTACCGCTTCACTTGATAATTGCCTCCCTTTGAACGTCCGACTGGGAAATCACAGAAACGATGATTGCCCGTAAAATCGTTTTCAATTTTGTCCTAATGACACGTAAAAGGTATTTTTCCCCGCCGGGCACTGAAATAATCTACGATCTTAAAATTGCATGAGCTTTTATTCCATCACCGAAAAAAAAAATTGTGATCTTAAAAATCGTGTGTTGTAGACCTCTGTTGCTTAATTGGGTCAACGAATGATTATTACGTGATCGCCCTTTTACAACAATTGACTCTTGTAACTTAATAGAAGCAATTAGGCCTTACTTTATGACATTTAATTGCTCTCTTGTCGTAAATAAGATCGGATAGTTTAACTGCCTCCCTTTTTTTAGATCAAGTCGGGAAAAAATTGGCCTGAAAAAAGGATCTTATGATTGAAAGTGGACCGAAAGTGTTTTACAGTTTGTCGCCTTGTGAAGTGGAGGAGCTGAGGTTCCGTTAAGACCTAAATATCTGTCCTCTCTCCTCGCCGGAAAGGTGGTATTATTTGAATTTGCTTCGGTGTTACACGGGTCCGTCTCGGGCCTAAGAAAATGCAAAAATCCACTTTAAGCCCGAGCTTTCACTCAGGAAGGCCTTTAACACAACATTGCACACGGGAAACATTAAAGACTTTCTATTCTGCTCTCGAATTAAAAAAAGGAGACATCCAAAACGAGATCCTATCATAAAAAAAAAATAATAATAAAACAAGGACAAAGCTTGGAAAAGCGCAAATTTTCTCCTGTTCTAGGACTAGGAAGGGAACGAGCTAAAGTGCCGACCAACTTCGCAACCTTCAACAGAAAGATTTTCATTTACCTACTTTTAAAACAGTGTTTGTAAACGTTAGCTTACATCTTGTAAAGAAAAGCATGAGAAATTTATTTCTCAAGGAAAATCTCGTAATGAAATAACTATACTATTCCTACTATAAGTAGGAAAAGTAAAAAAAGAACCGCATTTCTAAACAGATTGCACCTCTGAGAAAAAGATTAAACGTATACTTAAATTACAAATAAAGTGCTTGAGTAAGTTTTGCCGAGCTTTTAAAATCAATCACCTGGACTTGACATTTGTGGTTTCTTTTAACCGCAACCTAAACTGAAGAAGAAACAACGATTTGTTATGTTCGAAAAAATTTTAGACTACTTTCCAGGGGAAATTTGTGATTTTTTTATTATGCAACTTTTACAGTACCTAGTGGTTTCCATAACTAATTAGGCAGTACACCTGGTCTTTCAAGCTGAAATACATGTCATCATTGCTTGCATCTTAGAAAGTCTTAAAAGAAATTGCACGAGGTGCAAAAAAATCCTCGTAAGGTCATAGAGCAAAGCAACTATTACATCATTAGCATGTGAAAAAATTACATCAAAACTAATCAGTGAATGAATCCCAAATCACCAAAACCTGGGAA